AGCATCAAGAACGAGACCAGGGCATAGTTCATTGATTATCCTCAATGGAATGCTTGCCAATTGCAAAACATTTTTCTCCTGTTAAAACATGGGTAACATGATTGTTATGATATACATAGTAAATATGATTAAAATGATTCTTAATCACTGAAATGAATAATGATAAATATGATGTACTATAAGCTCTTACCAAAAGGCATTTATGTGTATGGTTTCCATTAAAAGTCCCTCCATGGTATGCTTGCCTCTCAACCCCAATTTCTTTCAAAGTTTCCTCTAATGCTTGCAGGCAGGGACCATCATTCGTCGGGAATAAACTTTCTAATTKGTTATTGTCATCTCTCTAGGAATTTGTAATAAAATGAAAGGCTCATTTTGTAACAAAATGAAACAGAATTGTTTAGCAAAACACAGTAGAGTACCAATTTTKTTGCCTTGCTACGCAGTGCTGCAGCTTTATCTGCCATCCTTCGAACTTGTTCTTCAAGATCATTTTCATAGACAGCCATATAMGTTATGGTAGCATCACAGTCTTCGGCTTTCTCTAACAAGAGCAAAGCATTCATTTCATCTAAATCAGCTTGTTGTCTGGCAGCAATAAATTTTTGGAATTTCATGTTTCCTACCTAAAGTGGTTTAGTAATAATTAGCATTACTGGAAAAAAAAWTTAATTTAATTAACATAATAAAACTGCTGTTATCATAATTCTAATTACCATCTTATTCTCTTTTGCCAGGACAGTGGACATTTTAATATCTAGGACATGAAGTGCTTGTGTTAGAAGCATATACAGTCGGTTAAAAATCCCCATGCTGATGTGCAAGCCTGGAAGGCATACCTGTGTAAAAATGTATYGATAAAGGTCAGTGAATGAAGTTATAATGTGTACATGAATAAACAGATAAAAGAGATAGCTTACTTGTGTAATTGGAATGTCAAAAAGGGGCGGTCTGATTGCATTATTAAATTGCTTTGCCTTGAGCATTGGTGATCCAGCTTCCTGGAACTTCTTGTTGTCATTTTTAATTCCTTCAAGTGTTCTTGATGGCTTACTGCCTCTATCTGACAAAGGTATGCAAAGTTCAGATTGGGTGATTAAACACCAAAGGCAACAATGACGACCTGGGAAGAAACCAAACGAGAAATTAAAACAACATGATATATGTTATACATCAGTGATATTGGAAATTTAAGTACCATGCTTATTTGTTTTATTAGGGTTAGTATTTTATTGCATATTTAATAGTTTTTGGCATAGTTTATATATATTTTATTTTACCAAGTTTGCTTGGTACTTTGATAGAAAACATTGTTATACTTAAATACATATATTTGGCTTACTTACCACTTGCCCCAGAAAGGCCATAGAGTGCACATAAAAATGCATAGTCACCAAAAACAAATAACTTCAGTTTCAATGTCCTGTTTCAACAAATACATTGTGGATTATAAAGAATAGTTTTGAGATATTTTTAAAAAGTTAGCAGGTATAAAGTACAGTACATAATTAAGCAATGTTCTTGACACCCAAAATTCAGTACATAAATATTCCAAACATTTTACTACAATTATTGTTGAAGTGGGACCTGCATTTTCTGATGTCTTGTCTGCCAACTAGCATTTAAACAACTGCCAATCAACTAGCTGCAATAATAARAAAACAATCTCCCTCAAGATATTATTTCTTCTTGTATTGTGGTTTTTTTAATTGACAGTCATTAAAATGCTAGTAGGTGAACAAGGCAGATTCAACAAGACATCAAACTATGCAGGTGGCTCCCACTTCAACAATAATGGTAGTAATGCTCTTTACCTCCATTTCTCACTTTGCAGATCATCTAGGTCATCATTGTAATGGTCCAGGGCAAGCTTGACATTGTAAGGAGAATCATGTGCTTTGAATGCTGAAAACACAACTGTGTTCTTCGTTGAGTTTGGGCTTAATAGATTTGCAATCTCAAAGGCCATCTTGAAAGTACCCCCACCTTTGTCTCCTCCAATTTTCAACCATATTTCATTACTTGGAATTAAACCATTGCGTAAACGGGCTCGAAATTATATACGCTCTCAAATCGGGCGCACGCTTGCAAAGGAGGCGCTTTATAATCAATTACGAACAATGTGCAAAATGTCATGCTATGTGAAGAGTACTTACTGTCCCTCCTGTTCGCAATAGAACTTGGCAACTCGAAGACGTGTTTAGTTTGCGTTTTACTAAATGTGTAGTCAGTCGCTCTTCCTCTGTAGTAAGTGGGGCGTCACTAGCTGTATCAAGCACTTCCGTTAACGTCTTTGGCATTAAATGAAGCACATACTTATTGCATCGGTTTTCATGCAGCTGAAGTTGATCCAATTGTATTAACTGTTTGCATGAATTGCAAGATACCAATAGTGCAGATAAGATGTTCTGTAATACTCTCGGGACTTTACAAAATGTTACAGGAGACAAAAGCTCGTWGCACGTAGGACACTTTGCATAGTTCCCCGCATGGGTGAGCCACGCATATACGCATTTGTAGCAAAATAGATGTTGGCATGCAGACTGTATGGGCTGTTCAAGAATTTCTTTGCAAATTGGACAAACAAGATCTTCTGGTGGTCTGTGAAAACGTAGAATGGCTGGCATTTCTTAAATTATGGGGAGGGGTATAGCATGGGGAGGGGTATAGCATGGGGAGGGGTATAGCATGGGGAGGTATCTGAACAGAATGACTGGACGGATCATTTCGGAACGCTTTTGAGTAACCTCCAGGACGACCCCTTCCTTTTGCTAATTTACGTTTTCTTCCTCCGCAAAGTTTTTTCTCGAAAMATTTACATATTTCGCAGTTATCATTACTATGTTCTTCCCATCTAATTSGTACAGTAGCGGTCTTATAATACCCATCTTTTTGTGCCTTCAAACACTTTGCATAGCAATTATTGCATATTTTACTTGGATGAACATCCTTCTTATCATCTGCAACGTCTACACCAAAAACCAAGGAGATTTTTGAAATAATATTTAAACTTGAACAGTCGTAGAATCGTTCTTTGCGCTTTTCACCATTAAAATGGCCACATACTCGGCAAGATTTATTGATAAACTCAAGGTGAAAATCCAAACAAGACATCTGTAAACGTAACAATTTCAATGTAACCATTTGTAGTCGTACAGAAACAGCAAAAGCATCAATAAAAGACGGCTATTTTGTAGCCAAAAAAATTGTTAGCTGTTAAATAAAACTGAAGGCAAAAAGTACGACAATAAGAGGTTTCAAAAGGGTTTTACCTTTGTCTGTGAAAAGTTCCGGTGTTTGTTTAAAAGGAACTTGGAAAACGCTATTTTGTTAGAAAACACGAAACCTCACGATCGTCAACTCGTCTCATTGAAATCCTTTTTCGCCTAACGGAGAAAAGGACTGAGCAGTTTTTCTTCACATTTCGGTAATTCAGATATGTGTTAAGCTAATTGTCATTCGTTTTTTTGAGAAAACGAACTGAAGGAAAAATAATTAGCAAACTTTCACGTAAATATATTTTTTGAATTCGCCGCCATTTTGGTAACTAGGGAATTAAGTTAACATAGCAACGCCATGTTACCGCGCAGGGGGTTGGAACCTAATGTCCACCGCGAACCAGCCGTGGCCTGCATGCGGGGACGACGTAAAAAGGCGCACCTCCGAGTTGGTAAAGCTTGCCTTTAGCGGCAGACATGACAATATTAGCGTTTGGTTGCTCTCCCAGCAGCTTACCAGTGTCTCCAAGCTCTTTAGGGAAAACATTGGCGCCTTGGTCGTCTTCTACACACCCAGTAAGTCCGATTTGGAAACCATCCTCTCTGACTACGGTGGCGAGATATCCAAGGAACAGTTGCACGAATACATGCGGCATTTAAAGACACACCAACATTCCAAAATGATTTTCTCTTTGCACGCCGGGTCACCTGGCTCGGATTTCCGGACATATACTTGAAGCAAAATATGATATCTTGACCGGGATAATTTTTCTAGAGACTGGGTACTACTTATTTTGATATAAAAACGGGTCGCTGAGCTTCTTGGGATAGCTTTGACAAAGCAAAGAGCGGGAAATTTACAAAGA